TTGTAAGGACGTAGCCCTTTGATGTTTTTCCTCATATTTAAACGAGTTCAACACCTCTTATGGTACGCTATCCATGTCTGCAGTATTCTTCTTTTAAGGCTTCCGATAGTTAATTCCGCATCTGAAATATTTTTTAAAGAAGTTGAACTAGGATAATTATTCTATGTCTGGTTTTAGAAAGAGAGACATACTAGTATGTTTCAATAGAACAGGATAGTGGGTGTTTCGTACGATGATATTGTAAATGTATTTGAAGAATATGAAAGCTTTGAGCAGTAGGTGAAGGATCTGTGGCATAGCGAGATTGCATCTTAGATATTTACGGGAGTTAGTTTCGCAAAGCACATTTGACTTCAGAAGGATTTACTGCTTTAGAAGGCAAGGAGAGTGAGATACCTGATTTAAGGGCTTCTTTTATTGTCCTGGTGGGGGTGGGATGGGATTCCGGATGAAGAGTAAATTTATTAGTAATTTGTTTATCAAATTTCTCGACTTTTTCATCATTTGATACTATCCAGCAGCCATTATCTCGTTAGAGGGAATGAGAAGTTTAGTAAGATTTTAGAATTTTCGCGGTTATAATCCACAGTGAACCAATAGGAGCAGAGTGGGAGGATCTATACGAATTTAAGGATTAACATCTACAGGTGTCTACTTCTCTCATTACCTCTTTTAACAATAGTTAATTGAGTGACATTCGGTTGGATGTCTAGTACATTTTCACAATGATCTGGCATGGCGTTTGATATGGATTAGGTCGAGGAGATGTTGAGATAAATAATATTTCTTAGGAATTCTTGAAGGTTCACTTAGCGAGGAGGCGGTACTGACAGCATATCAAACTGTAGTAGTAAAGGAATAGACAGCATTGTCAAGGTCTTCGAGTTTTTTCTGGGATATTCGGAGGTCAATTTGGTCAGATAGGATATCGCTAAAGAGAGTTCAGTTAACTGGGCCTCTGATGAATGACGGTGGGGACTATTTAGAAATGGGATCTACTGAGATATAGAGAATTAATGGACTTTTTTTTCTGTTATTATTACAGACCATGTAGATCTTTTTCCGCCTTAACAAGCCTACTCCATCTCTGCCTGTCTTGGGCTATTTCTTTCCATTTATCTGCATGCAGCTCTGTTCCATCTTTGTTGATTCTATCTATTTATCTGATTTTTTCAACTTCCACGTTGTCTTTTGCCTTCTATTCAGGCATTCATTGTTACGTAGAGGCTTCCAGATGGATTGCTACGAGCTACATGCCCCGCCCATCTTAACCTCCGTGCCTTCATATCATGGGATATTGATTGACCAGTTTCTTTAAGCAGTTCTTTATTGGTCCTTCTTCTCCATGTGTTACTACTCTGTTCCCAGATCGCTCCGGTTATCTTGCGAGAGATTTTCCTCTCAAATCTTTCAACAATTTTTTCTAGGGTGGTGGCTAGTATCCAGGTCTCACAGCCATATATTAGAACTGGCTTTATCATAGCATTGTACACCCTTAGTTTGAGATTTTTCTATAGAGAGGGATTTCTATACCTTTGAGAGGTTGGAGTAAGCTCTGTTTGCACTAGTTATAAGATGGTATATTTCTGCCCGTTGGTCATTCATTGAGGTTATTGTGGAGCCGAGGTATTTGAATTTTTCTACTCTCGGGGATGATTTTCCTTCTACGCAGATCCTGTTACAGGGGTGGAATTTTCGGATTCATATCATATGTTTTGTTTTGTCATCATTTACTTGTATGCCGATCTGCTTTGCCTCTCTTATCAGTGTTGTATATCCTGATAGATAGTCCTAAGGAAAATGTCTTTATTATTTACATATGTATATATGATTAAAATTTTTGTATAGTTTATATGTCATTGTAATGTTGTATAGTTTAGGTTAATTATACGTTATAATCTCTCGATTCATAATTAAATTAAAATATTATTTTGTTTTCCAATTATTTTGTCTTCTTTTTTCCTTTCCAATTTTTCACCTTATTTATTTTGTTTTAATGGTTCAAATGACTGGCACTTATTGAAACGAGGTTGAGACTGTGTACAATATCGTATATTGTACAACATAGCTCTCCCCAACATGAGCATTATGAGCAAATTTTAAAACATATTCTGATCTATCCACCATAATGCTCGAAGAAATGTAAGAGATGGCAAGGATCACTTGCGGCAGGTTCGTAAATCTTCTCGTAAATCTCCCGGAACAGTCGACCAATTTTCATTCTCTTGATAACAATACAACGATGCAAAAGCTAAAACTTCAGCTATTGGAGCACATGGATAAGTTGCGAGCATTAGGGAAAACAGCTTAACTATGGCTAGATCAACATGAGCTTATATCTGTAGCTATGTATTTTAATAAAGTGGAACACATAGGAGATTGGTAGCTCTATTTAAATTACGTCAGGGCAGTACTGCCAATTTATCATCCCGGTGGACACTTTCCATATGTGATAGCATGCCGTCAGCTTTATCCTGGCGATATGTTTACACTTAAAGAAAAAGTAGCACCCGAAGAGATCCAGAAATTTACGGAAGAGAGTTTTTTTTTACTATCCATATCTCTGACGAATACTGCTCCGGGGACGGTCATCGTCTCGAACCCTTAGGTTTGAGTCGTGTCCCTCATTGACTGCGGAGGTGCAGGCATCCTGCTGTACATCGGCAGGCAATGTAAAGCCGTAGCGATCGTAAGATTGCGGAGCCTGAGACCAATCGTGCTCTGAGGTCAGGGAAGCAGTGCTTCCCGACTAAATTGGTACTACCGTGCGTCGCCGGAGCCCCGGCGGCGCTATGGGTGGACGGCGAGAGTGCTTGCACTGTTCGGCCGTGGCGGTCGTAGTGGTCGATGTGTTTACGACTACTCGCTGCACGACACCAGTGTTCAGCTAGCCTTGACGTTGTTCAGGCTATCTTCTGGTACAATGTGTGGACGAGTGGACGGAAGTTATGGTAGTAGTGTTCGTCTGATTCCGTGGGCACCTATTGTGTGCCTGCATCTTGTTGGATGTACCCGGTCTAGGGAGTTAGGTTGGAGGCCGGTTAAGGCTCGCGCTAGGTATGGCTTCCAACCGATGCTCCCTTGGTCCATAGAGTACCCGCTGGTACTATGACGAACACTGCTGTGGTGTGTCAAGTGCCTTGAGCAGCATTATCATCGAGGGCCCCCGACGCAAGGAGGCCCCAAAAATAAAGATTCACTTATATTCTTTATTACTCAGATGATTTCTAACTACATTATAATTAGTGGTCCTAGATTATTTTATCTTTTTCCAGGAAGATACTTATATACAACCAATTTTTTACTGTTGCCGATTAATGTTTACCCTTAGTAGTGCGTTAACAGTAAGTCCAGTGCCAGGGCTTGATAACTTGGGTACATGCTCGGGGTGACGTCCACAACTTGTTGGAAAATTATAAAAAATTACAAAACTAAGATTCCGTTTTCGTTATGTAATTGAAAATGTTTGGTATATTTCAGAGCATTGAATTAAAAGCCAGAATTTAGCTTGTGCGATTCCTCACAACTATCACTATGTCTAACGTATTTTCACTTCTAAGCCTCAATATAAACGAAATATTTGCAATATTGAAGGCCAAAAGTGAAAATGTTGGGCTGGAAATTAATCAAGTAAGACAAAATACATGTATGTCAGGGCCGACAGTGAGGTTCGCCTTTAGAGCATTGAAATGTGTGGTCTCACCTTCGAGTGTGTCAAAAAATCCACGTATAGGTGGAAGTGAATTCTGAAAATAAAATTTCAACTTAGGTAATCAAGAGGATCATAACTGGAAACCGGGCGTACTATGCCAACCTAAAATTTTTTCGATCATCGCTCCTGTCACGGGAAACAAAGATATGATTATATAAGACTTTAGTAAGACCTATTGTGACTTATGCAGCGGAGACACGAACCCTTTGTACAAGCACAATTAGTATGCTGAATATTTTTGAAAAAAAATATTTTGAGAAGAATATATGGAGTTTGTGAAGAGGGTGTGTGGAGGTATTGAAAAAAAATCGGAGCTATATGAACTATATAATAGCGGCAACATAGTTAATTTTGTTAAAACTAGGCGCATAGAATGGTTAGGCCACGTGGTTAGAATGGATTACAGCAGGATGCCTTATAGGACATTGTTCTCTACAACGTATGTCCCATAAAGAAAAGGAAGACTACGGAAAAGACGACTGCATGATGTAAAACACTGGGTGTGAGAAACTGGAAGGAAAGGGTGAAGAAGAATAAAGATGATTGGCATGGTATAATCCAGGAAGCCAAGGTCCACCCCAAGCTGTAGATCTGCATAGTAAGTAAGCCGCAATATCTTTTCGAAAATGAATCATTTGCCCAAGTTGGGTCCTATTGCTATTGCCTAAGATAGTACGCTGTTAGAAAGCAGATGAAATTGAGAAATCTTTTTGAAATTCCCAATTTTTACGTGAGATTTGATGGAGTATTTCTGAATATTATTCATGCTTACTACTTAATTTTACTTTAGCTGCTAATATTACCTGATAAAGTAAAATGTTTTCACAAATTGGCTACTACATTATGAAAAGTATTCGTAAATTCCGAAAATTGTAACGTTATTGATTGAGAAATGTTCAGTTAGTTGAGAATTTTAGATTTCTATAAGATAAAACGTGGTTTTCTTGGTAAACACTTAAAAATATCATATCGTGACAACGAATAGCGTGAAATTTAATCTTCTTTAAAATTTTTAATTCTCTGATACTGTCCTTAAAGATATAAGAAATTAATTGGTTAGTAGCCATATCGTCACATAAATCATCTAATATTGACATGAAATATCAAATAATGCGTATATAAATTACACCTACAAAACTATATAGCTATGTAAGTTTTAGATGACGATTTTTGGCGTAAGATGTTTTGAATAACATTGCCGTCATAATCCTACTCACTTCTAAGCTCCACCCAATTTGTGATCTCTGAAGGTTACTTTTATATGACGTCTTTGTATTGTTATATGATTCAAAAGTACTGATTTTGTGAAATTGTCAAAGAAGAATATTTGTTGTATTATTACTTCAGTATTAGGATTTTAACATCTTCTGGTTCCAAGTATTACCCACCCAATTTTTTAAAAGGTACTAAATTGTTATAATTTTATTTACTTATGGTAATTTTTTATTTATAATTTTCTCTGTTTATTCATATTATTTAGAAAAGATTACATCTGTTTTATGTGACAGCTGTATATTCATGTTCTTTTGGGTTTCTTAATCAACAGCTGTATTATTACTTATGTACTATACTGTAATCCCTAATGTTCTTGCTGTCTTCATATATTTATTGATCAGTAAATGTTTATTTTTATATGGCTTTATATATGAATTTTCTATTATGAAAAATTTAATTGACATAAGAATTATTTATTAACTCCTTCTCCGATGCTGTGATCCATTTCGGTTTTTAGACCTCTTATTTAATTCATTTTTCCTCAGATCAATCTTTTTAAGTTATTCATGTATTATCAACTAATTTAAAAAATGACTAATGTTTTACTTAAAGTATGATCAATTGGAAACACTTGACAGATCCTGGATGTCATATGAAATACATTTTTATTGTTAACTTGTATTGTTCTTCTCATGATTCAAGCATTCTTCTTCTTTTAGCATGTAATTTATATCTTAATCGTGGTTTAAAGAAAATTTGAACAACTTCTGTTATGATTTTTATACGAGATAATGTATTTTTCTTTATTTTTTAGTTCAAATATTATCACTTTTTGATATGATTTAATGCCAATAAAAACATTACCGTTCTGTCAAATACTTGGACGAATTCTAAATGTTTATATTTCAATAGTCGCCAATCTAAAACTAATTTAAAATATTCTAGTGCAATGACAGAGTTTTTATGTTAAAAATGTTTAACATTTAAAGGTTTTTCACAGATTATTCTACACTGATATTTATGTTTTAATACTATTTTAAACTAAATATCTTCATACTGTTAGTAGTATTATCAACCGGCATTATAATTAATATTGAAAAATTGATTAAATGATACAATACATGCATATATATTTCTTTATTTTGGCACTGAGATTAAACTCAAAATAAATAAGTTGATATCACATCGATGGCTGTGAGGTAGATACTAGTAATGGTGCCCTATTTTAAACCTCATGGTATTTATAAATAGTTGTTTGGTCAGCACTGTACTCCAGCTGCCTCATTTATATTCAAACTAATTTAATACTCATTGTATGGATCCTGGAAAAGAATAGCAATCCATTATCTTCACCATGACTAATTTTACTAAGTAACTGTCAAGAAAAAATTGTGTATCATTACCGAGCTAATCTTTCACTGTAAGAAGCCCATATATGGGTCAATTAGACTGTCTCTATTGGCACGTACCACCAGTAAAAAAAATTGAGAAGAACAGTTCTCTAATATTTGTTGTCTCTATGAAATGTGGAATTATTATTGTAATTCCATGTTTCATAATATGAAATTCATTTCTCCCAATGGCCATTTTTCAGATTCTCACCCCTCTTTAATGTCAATAACATCTCTTTTCAAACTGTTTTAAAAATAAGTGCAATAATTGTCTCATGCAGTATCGTGAGATGGGGTAACTTTGGGAGAGTGAGTAAAATTTAGATTGTGTTGATTCCATGGTGGATACACTATATTGCTTTATGTAGGCATGTACTGCGCTACTACCTTTCAACAGTTTCAGAATCCTAGTTCACTGCACTTGTGCAGTTAGTTTTCATTTATTTCCATTACTTTTTTTCAAAATTCTTGTTTTTATGAAACTTTTGCTTGTGCCTGCAAGGTAGTAGCACAGTATATTCGCTGTCCATACTCTTTGAACCAACACAGGGTACCCACCCAGTCCCAAAGTTATCCCATCTTACGGTATATTTAGTAGTAGCTAATAGTTTACTTGTTAAAAAAGCTGTGACTTGTGACTTATTGTAATAAGGTAAAGCGTTCTTACTAAGTAGGGATGGATAAGGTTAATGGTGGTGGCCAGTTAGCAGATTTGATGATTAAAAGTTCTTATCCCATCCCCCATCCCTCATCAGAAAAAGAAATTGTCCTCTATTGTTATGTGCAAAGATAAATATAACTCTAGTTAAGTATTATTAAAACTGATCGGGAGACCACATTGAATATAAGAAGTGGATTTACTTTCTCATAAAGGTGAGTTTACTGTCAATGGGTCACCAATTTCAACAATATATTTTCAGTGATACTGCATTGAAAAAAATTAGATACATGTTCCCAGCGTTTGTTCCAATGGGTCCTAAGAGCCGGAAAAAAAAATGTATATAATTTCAAACAAGATTTATGTTATTTATTTTTGTCTTTGCCCTGCTTGGATTCTTAGGCTATTATACACTAATCAATTTCTTTTTTTGTGGAGAATAAGAAAGGAATATGGTATTAAATGAGTTATAATATGTCAAAAAATACAAAAACCAAAAGGCGCACTTCCAGTAAAGTAGTCAAAGTAAATTTTTGTTATGAAAATTAAAGTTATATTTGTTTTTAGTTCCCTTAAAAACCCTTAAATTTTTTAAACAAATTTTACAAAAAAAAAAGTTGCAAATTTGAGTACTTGATTTTCTTGGAGGAATTATTTTCCGCCTGTTAACTAAAGCATTCATAACTTTTCAGGATCTTATCCAAATTCAACGTACTGTTTACAAGCCAAATTACTGCACTTCTAATCCATATCAATAACTTTTAGATTTCCTTCCTTTTTAAGCTATAAATTTAGAAAACTTAAAACATTTTTATTTTATATCTTTGGTTTTAATTTGTTTACTGAGAGTGACTTTGTACAATTTTGTATAGCATATTGTACATTGTACACCAAACTGCTACATTGGTTAGTCCAAAATGTTGCTGTAATGCAGCTATCTGCTAAATATGTTTTTTTTTTTCTAAACCAGCCTGGTATCTAGAGTAAAGATTTTTTAAATTATAAACAAAGTTAATAATCATTTTTCACACTTCAGAAAGTTCTTAAAAACGATTTTTTGAGCTCCTGAGGTACATTGGAACGAACGCCAGGACATGTGTCAAGTATTTCCAGTGTAACATCACAAACAAATAAAAAAAAGGTGACCGAAATCAGTGACTCACTGACCGTAAACAACTACCCTTTTAAGTATGAATATAAACTCTAGCGGGTATCTGTATTATTAATCTGCACCGCTCATTACAGTAAATGCTCAAGACCAACTTGTAACTAATTAAATGTATTTTTCTTGGCATTTTAATGCTTTTGGCCTTTGGTTAAAGGTGGACTAGAAATAATGGACCTGTTATTTTGTAGCTATTATGTGCCAATTAAGCTAATTCAACTTTAAATCTTTTACCAATTTTCATAAATAAATGGTACAGATGAATCGAGTATTGCAATTAGTACTGCTTATGGCCGCTTGATGAGTATTTTTTACCAGTATTGTAATCTTCTCTACCTGTTCAAAATTTCGTTGGAAACCTTCTGTATTTTGATTAATGGTTATTAATCAATCATGAATTAATATACACTAAAGAATGGTGGACCTCAAAACAAGTTTTTTTTTTGTTGTTTAAATTAAATTATAATTGTATTGCGATATATATATTTCAATTAATATTAGAACACTTGCAATTTCTTGAGATTTTAATTCTTTGAAGTAGAGAAGAAACCTCTGTTTGCATTTGTTATATGCTGCCCTATTTCTTACTGATGGGCATTCATTGAGGTTATGGTATGTGCACTAGCGGATCCAGGATTTAATTTCTGGGGGGGCTTCAGCCCGAAACCTTTTTTTTTTCATAAAAATAGCGATAATTACTTTGGAAAAACAGAAAGAAACTAACTACCTATATGAAATGGTATTTAAGTTATTCCTTAAGTACTTTTAAATGTAATTACACGAACAATAATACTTTAAGAGGTATTTTTTAAATTTTTTTTCCCATAAAACATGGTTATATTTTTCCATTTTGGGAGGGGGGCTTCAGCCCGAAAGCCCCCTCCCCCGTAGATCCGCCCGTGGGTATGTGAATTTGTTTTAGTCTGTGGGCCAGATTTAATTTTTATTTCCTTTATTTTGTGCAGAAGTTGGGCTATATCATAAATAAATAGGAAATTTTAATATTGAATGAATTATTCTCTATGCATAAAGAAAGATAGAAAGGGTGATTCCAAGTTCTTCTATAAACCAAAACTGATTGTTTGGATTTGATCTCAAAATGAGGAAAAACGCGTATAATAGATTAAGCGAACGAGAAAGGAAGTACCAAAACCTCGGAATAGATAAAAAGGACCAGTATCCATATCTATTGCTAAATGAATGTATAGTAGAGAGATGAACAGAATATTTCAAGATGCTGCTAAAACGGGATTAATTGCAATATGCATGATATTAAGTAGACGATGTAGGTTTATTATGGTGAAAACCACTTTATTTTCGATCGCTGAAGGTGCACATCGGGACTATCTTCACTTTGAAGTAAGATATAGAGAGGTATATCCAGAAAGTTATAGCTCATAGCTTTCCTTCTGTTTAGTGCATTTGCAAAAGATTTTGTAAGGAATCTTATATTAGTTATAGCTCGTTATTGTTCAGAAATTGCGGAATAAATTCTTCGGAATTTGTACCATATCATAAAAAAATAGGAAATTTTAATATTGAATGTATTATTCTCTCTGCACAAAGAAAGATGGTAAGGGCGAAACCGAACTGCTTTGATAGTTTTGCGCGTACATAGGCAACAAGCATATTCGAAAATAATATAAAAGGACTGTGGTTTTTACCTTTACAAGAAAGGAGGTACTAGGAAATGCCCCCCCCCATGAAGAAACCCATCAAGATCCACTCCTGTTTAGTGTACCAAACAAATTATACTCAAGAATCGTAGAAGCTGGAATAAGAAATATTGTCGATTGCCAGAGTGATATGGATTGAGAAACTTAAGTTGCACATTGGAAGAGAAGTTGAAAATTGGGACTGTCTTCACTTTAAGGCAGGTTATAGAGAAGTATACATAAAAAGAAAAATAGCTCTATCTGCTTAGTGCCTCACACTTTGGATTATGCTAATATCTAACTGTTTTGGTACTTCCTT